GTATAAATATCTAACATTTACATATTTATCTTCTTTAATTAAAAATCTTTTTCGAAGTCAAATTAAATTCGACTTGAATGCAAATGTATTCAAAGTCGAATTTAATTTATATAATTTAAAGATTACAAGATAAACTTTATAAAATTTTATTGCACAAAAACAAATTTAAAAAAATTAATTAACTAATAAAAAAATGTTTGAGTATTAAAACATAAACATAATAAAATATTTTCAAAGTTGTGAAGCAATCGAGCTTGTTTCAAGGCTATGAGAAAATAATGAGTCATATATTCAGGAGTATCTCTATATTCTTAGCAAGAATATCACTTCCCAACTGTATAATTGTCGTTAAATACTTTTAATTTTCATTTAATTTATTAGAACTAACATTGTTGCATAGAGATATGCAACATTGCGCATTCCCGTTCAAGATTGCGCATTTCACGATCCCCATTGTATGTAGCTTTGTCTCCATGTTGTTCACGCACATTACCATTCACCATTCTACTGGTAAGGAGAAATTGTGTCGGGTCTGAGTGCCGGTACAGTAATAGAGAACAGATTCCAATTTACAGCGCGTAGGAACAAGGAGCCCTTAGATGCAGCTAATCCGATGTATGGAACGGCGTACACGGATGTATCAGCCGTTTAAGCTGCTTAATGTCAAAGTGACTCTGAGATACCTCAAGTAGTAGGTTTAAGTAGGTATAACTTGTTTTATCGTATAACACGTGTTATTCAGATGGTTGCAAACGATATGCTCATTCATTGAATATTCGCCATTAGAGGCGCGCGATAATGGCGACGAGAGAGAAACTCGTCGACGTACGACAATATCACAACGATACGACGATACATGAAATATCGCAATAGTAACATTTTTTTTCTAGAAGTTCCTAAGAGTATCGTTTTCATTTTAAATTCGTTACGAGAAGTCGAGGCTCGAGAAGTCGAGCCACATTTCAAAAGTTTTTTTTACGGAAAATTGATCCTGGGACACGACACAATCTTAAAAGTAGCAGTATTTAATTTACGCATTTAATTTATTCTTCATTTAATTTATTCCGAGTTTTGATATGTTTTTAAGATAATGATAGTTAGATACGACGGAAGTATCTCGACTTTACTGTACTTCGTAGAAGATTCACGGAAAAGTTTGGCAAATGTTGATCTAGTCGGACACACGCAATGCCTTTCGCTGGAAGTATGTCTAGTGACTCGACTTATCACTTCGCGACGGTAGGTCCTTAGTACATTTATTTTATCCTTCACGAAATCCTCGTACGACGAATCAATAAACCGGCAAAGTTCCATTCAATTGCGCGAAGCACGGATTGAGTTTTTAGATATATCTGTCGCGTTGCAGCTCGAATTCGTCTCGAACTCGGTTAAAGTTCGAGTTTCCTCGGACATTGTTAAAGTTGAAACCATAATAAATCTAAGTCTTTGTTATCAAACGCTTTTTCAGTTGTTAAGAATACACGACCAAAATCAGTATTTTTGCTATTAAATCGATGAGAATGAGATAATCACAAAAATAAAAGTTTTTCTTGCATAACTCCTTGCATTTAAAATAATGTATTAATTTTAACTAATTTAAGTTAATCATCATCATCAAAATCGCGATTAGATATTGATCATTTTTATTAAAGTTACGTGCCTTATGTAAATTAATCGTATAATCTTTTTTTTATTAAAGTTACATGCCTTATGTAAATTAATCGTATAATCTTTTTTTTAATACAACTACACTACAATTAAATCCAATTGTAAATTTTTTTTAATTGTTTGTATAAGATGTTTAGTAATGATATTATTATCTATTGCGTTGGAAATTTATTTATTTGTCAATTTTATATGAAACAGAATACAGT